GATCTTTCTGTGGACTTCTGAGCTATGTTTCTTCATAAGCATGTATTACAAAATTAGATAGTGGGAAGCAAAGACCTGTTGCCCCAGTGGATCTACTGGAATCAATACTAATTCCTACCTCCTGGCTATAAATGCCTTCCCGTAGCCAAAAGCTCCCTCTCCAGCAGTGCCTCTGGAAAGTAGTCATTTATCTCCTACCTGTAATCTGTCCTCTCTAGTCTACCAACCTTTTGAGGACAGGGTGCCTGTACAGCACCTAGCACAATCCGATCCCTCTGCTAGCTTGAATTCTCTATGCTATAAGAATACTAATCCCTCCCCAACAATAGAGACAGGCACTCCACAGAGCAGACACACAAACAGACTTTCATTAGAGAATGCAGTCCCAAAAGCCTGTTTTACAAAAGGCTTTGCTGATTGGACTCAGTCATTTGAACAGTGATGGATACAGGGTATATTCCACAAGCGCCTAGAAAGAAAGGTGCAGCAGTATCAGCAATGAGATGCAGACACCACACAATTCTGTAATACTAACAGGCTTAAGCACATAACCAGCCATAACCTGAATCTTTAACATCTACTGTGTAAATAATTGGCTATTTTTTTCCTTCTTTTTTTTTTTCTTTTTTTTCCTCCCTCTCTTTTTTTTTTCTTCCCCCCATCAAAAGCAGTGCCCTGAAATGCTGAGAACTGTGTATTTTAAAAAAGGAGGCTGCTATTTCAACATCCCCCCATTCCCTCCAGCTTAGCAGTTTGCCAACATTTCTCCTGTTAATTACTGAAATTTCAGGTGCATTCTGAGCCTTTCAATTTGCAGATTTTCACATTGACATCTCAGGCAATGAGAGGGTGTCTGGGAGAGCCCTGGGGTATAAAGCCAAATTTCTCAATTCATATGCACAGTGGTGGGAGTGAGACAAATATGCAAGCAGAGGCATTCAATTTCCATAAATGCTTGCGGGACACGTTTTGAGACTTCTGTGCTAAAAATGAGAGGTTATTATAATCTACAGGTTTCCTTGCTTATAAATGCTCACAGGTTTACCACGGAAGACCAAAATTTTCATAATCAATAGCCTCCATTTTTGTTTATTCGTTACTGTCACAGACAAGCACTTCTGTTGATTAAGGGCAATGAAATCAAATCTATTGCCAAGGCAGTGAATAACATGATTAAAACCTACAGGGATCTTTTGCGGCTTTTTACAGGCCCTGTGTGAAAGGTAGTGGTATCGCTCCAGGAACATTTAAAGAACCTGTTTGCAGCCCCAAAATATATCTCATAATGAGTCCAAGATAGGGCAAGGCTGTTCTCAGAACCAGGCTCACCATTCACAGCTATAAATCATTTTACCTTTATTGGAGTCCACCTTTGCCAAGCTCTCAACCTCCCTGGAGGGGACAGCCCACATGTACTTGACTCTGGCCATCATTGCAGGACGTGGAGAAGCTGGGCACCGTGGAGCCAAGACCTGCTCCCCAGACAAAGGCAACGTCAGGGGTCTGCTCCCCCTAAGCAGGGCAGGGGAGGGCTTGCACCTGGGCCACTGATGGGCTACAGCTGGCAATGCTGATGGAAAGCATACAGCCAACAGGGCTGACTTTGCTTCGCCCTGTTCCTGACCCTCTTCCTCTCTCTGCAGCTGAGGCATGGCCTGAGATCCAGTCTTCCCTCCGGCTTTCCTTTTGGGCCACTTCCTCTACATAGCACAGACCGCACTGTGTCCCTACCCACCTAGAAGGAAGACCTTATCTGCTGGTAGGTGATGAAAAAAGCAGCCTCCACGAACCGCTCTCCTTAACCACTGATTGCTTTGACAGCTGGTAGTATTTCCAATATAAGAGAACCCAAATGAAACATTCCCAGCATGCTGAGTACGGGTTAAATCCTGTACGGTGCAGAGCACCTGCTCCAAGTGAATGAACACCTTTGACCCTCCAAAGATGGCTTTGCACAGATCACTGCCTCCACAGCCCGAACCTCTGACCCAGTGACGTTTATTTGCGTGAGTCCTTCACCTCGTTTTAGCCACCCCATTGCCTTGGAACTGGGTCACTGCAGACTAAAAGGCAAAAGCTGCAGTCTGAAGAAAGGTTGGCAAACCTGTGGAATTCCTCAGATTTTGTAGTAAATCAGGCAGCTACTGCCTGTATATCTCAGCAGAGGTGGGAGGAAGCAAGTATATTTAATAATGATGCATTTAAAAATCAGGAAGTTTACATTTCTGCTGTCAGGTGTGATCCCTTTTATATCAAAAGAAGAAGAAGATGGAAAAAAAAAAGAAACTGGTGTTATATTCACAGCATGATATTGTATTGAATCCCAGCCAACAAAATTGAAGCCCAACTCCATTTTTGGCTTTGGTAGCAGACTTCTTTACTTAGCTATCCCATTTTATTCCAGCCACACACAAATGTCTATTAACCATGAACGATGGAGTAAATATACAAAGACACTGCCTAACATCAGCAGGCTGGGTTATTGGCTCCCTGGCTTCTCTGTGGAGTGTACAGAGACCACTCAGAGCGATGGGATATCTAAGCTGGGCACGGGAAGTCCTCAAGGTTAGCTGGTGTGGCGTCCCCGTATCGAGGCAGAATGCATTTGCAGGGTTCGCAGAGTTGAATATTTTAATTCTGAAGCAGCAGTCTGCTCCCACCTGGATTGCCAGCATCGTACTGTTCTTACAGAATGAATAAAAATTCCTTATCAGCTATGAGTGAACACAAGGAGATAAGCAAAGAACATGAGCAATTAGGTAACACTGTTCAGTTTACATCAGTCGGCAGCTGCTCTGTGGTCTCACCTGTAGGTACTCAGCAAAGAACTCATATGTTCAGTGTAGTCAAAGGCTTTTGCTGATTCTTTATGCATTTTCACACCCATTTCAAAGATCTTCACTATGGTTATGAAGCAAATTTCTTTTCCCAATTACTCTGCCTCTCTGGCAAATATCTGCTGTCTATGCTGTCCAGTGCCTGTCGATACACTGATCTTTCAATATCTTGTTTCTTGCAAAAATTGCTGGAATTTTACTATAAGACCACCAAGACGTACCCCCAAAACCTCAACCATTACAATATGCACTAAACTTGCATTATACAGGAATATTGGACTTCGCTCTAAGTTAATTTTGTTATTATTCTGAAAATTTGATCCATGTAATTTAAAAAAAAATACATACCAAAACACTGAAGAGAGACAGATTGAAACAAAATATAGAAACATCCTGTCTGAATCAGTAAGGGAAATTATGAGGGCAAATAAAGAGTAGATAGTCACTATTTTTCAGCCAGAATACTTCTAGCTAGATTGTAAGTAATTTGTTTTCACTGGCAATCATATGATTTAAAAATGATTCAAGCTTAGAATTCCTGCCTAGATTTTGGAAAAAACAAGAAAACCTGATGCATCAGCCTTTTTTCATTAAGAACAGACAAAAGGCCCCACAGGGTACCAACTCTCATCCGGATCCACCCTAGGCCCTTCTGGGGGGTCCTCTGACAACCTGGGTCTGTCAGAGAAGTGATTTGTAATGTAGTCATGATTGTAGAGCTCAACCAGGACTTGTCATCTGGCCAAACTTGTCACTAAAGATACAAGAGTGGATCTGGACCTTTGTTGATATTGCACAATGACCAAAATGCACCTCAATGAGTCACTACCACCTTCCTGCACATGCTTGGAGAGCACCAATGGCAGTAAATTACTCAAGCTTCTCCAAACCCAAACTCTCAGAATCCTGAATTAGCCTGCATGTTTCTTTCCTGTAGAAAACAAGCTGTAACATTCTAAAGTGCTGAATAAAATAGAATAAAATAAAATATAATATAAAGATAGCATCTAATCTTTCGTGTTGTTAGAACTTCCAGAAAGGACTAAAGGGTAAACAGAAATTTCTGGTCAGGATTCCAGAGATGCTGCTTACTGTGCCTTTTCTGCTGGATTAGCCTCCCTCATTCAGAATTTGGGAAACATCGTCAGTGTCAACATCCACACAGACCAAATATTCTTACAGCAATCTCTGGATCAAACCCTGAATTGCAGGCAGCTCCCAGCAATGCCGTCTGTACATTCTGCCTTCATTACTGATACCATGGTATGATAAATAATTCTGCTATCAGCATTTTGTTTATTAAAAGTTATACAAAAGTACTGCCTTGAATTAAAACAGGAAAGATTATACGAAAGCTATAAAAGAGATATGGAGCTGGCGTTGCAGCATCAAAACTTAAGAGTTTTCCCATTAACTTTTCTCAGCTTATTAAATCAGAATTCACTCCCTTTCCCCCTGCTTTCTTTTTAATACTCTCCCAAAATGAACGCTACCCCGCTGCAGCTAAGCCTCTCTGCTCGTTTGACTGTTTGGGCCAAATTCTGTCTTTTAAAATTTACTGAAATATGCAGAGTTACACCAGCAGAGGACTTACCCTCCCGTACCCTCTCTTGCTGTGAAATTAATTTGCTTGTCCTTAAGCCCACGTTTCTAAATTTCCAGGAGCAGAAATGCATTGTGGCTTTAAATATAGACTGTCAGTTTGTGGCTTGCATCTCATGTTACACACAGACAGTTTAAGACTCTAAACACAAGTTGGGCAGCACCATTAATATCTTAGAAAAGCGTCAGTATGCTTTCGAAATGCTCTATATTTTCATTCCTGAAGGCGGGGGGGAGGGAAAAAGATTCAAATTAAACTTTTCTAAGCCAGGGTTTAGGCGGAAACGTTACTAACTTTGCCCGGGAGCTGGAGTTTGCAGAGACTGTTTCAGTTCTTCAACACACACACGCACACACAGACACAAAGAATAAAAAAGGAAAGCAGTTTCATCACAACTTTTTTCCTTCAGGATTAGTCTTAGGCATTCTTTTTCTTTTTTTTTTTCCTTTTTTCTTTTTTCTTTTTAAATTAAATATGAAATACTTTAGACAATCTTTTCCTTAAGCGGCAGACTGGTAAATCCACTCTTATTGTAAGGGAGGGGGGGTAAGGGTACTCACGTGGTGGAGATGTCGCATTGTTTTGGTAACTCATAATTTACGCCTTTGAAAAATGCCTTATTTGTGTTGACAGTCTCTCTTCCCTGCTCAGAACCGACAGCAGGATTGAGCAGAACAGCTGGAAGAGCCCAGGAAAATGCTCCTCTTGTTCGGGCTCTCCTTGCCTGGCTCCTGACCCTTTACAACTGGAAAAGGAAACAGCACATGTGTCATTCTCTTTTGCCTGTGTAGCTCACATGAGCGGGGAGGGGCACCCATTTGCAGATAGCAGTAACTGTATGCAAGTTTTGCAAGTTGGATGTATTCCACCCCTTTGCTTTTACTAGCCAGCAACCAGTGGAAAGAAAATGCTCTTTTCATTCTTAGCCAAATCTAGAGGCACCTACTAGATTCGATTCCCAAACCCCTGCCCACCACTGTTGATATTATTTCTTTTAAGTGCAAAACTTGCTGCTGATTCCCTTCCCAAAATGCCTGTCATCAGTGAATTAGATCAAAAGTAGGGCTTTCCATTTTTATTGCCCAGCAGCATCCTTAACACTCACAGTCTAAGTGATTCTGTCTTTTTAACGGGTGAAAACTGAGAATGACATTTACAGGGTCAGAGTAGTTACATCAGTGTGTAGCATAAATCTACACTGTGCTCAGAACAAGGAGCACAGGCTGAGGCACAGCTAACTCCAGCCCTGTCTCTGACAAAGGCTTCTTATAGCACCTTGGGCAAAGCGCTTAATCTCTGCCTCAGTTTGTCATCTGTGGAATAAGGATGATACAAGTAATTTCCTCCCAGCCTTGGTATTTTTATTTTAATCTGCAGGCAGGTGTTGTTTGTAAATAGGATATATTTATTGGTCTTCATGGGTTAATTTACTCATACTCCGCAGCAAGTTTTTCAGCCTGGATGAGGCTACCAGTTCCCTTGTTTATATTGCTACCCTTTAAAGCTATCTGTTTGACTATCAACATGTTATACTGCAATCAGTGGTATGTAGTGATTGTAAATGTGCGTACACTGTCGGTCTGCGGTTGACATGGGCTAGGACTTCTAGGTCATACCAAAATACAAGTAGTTCATAACACATATGTCTTAGACACTAAGAAGAGTGGACAAAGTTTACATTTTACTGGTCTCTGTGAGTCAGGATGAATTAACTGCCTGCCTGTGACAGCAAAAACACAGCAACCATTGGAATGGAAGTGGAAAAAAACAGTCATGAAATTCAGGCTGAGACTCATCCTGTTTTGCAAAACTGTCGCAGGATATTTCTGTAAAATCATCTCAGTGACCTCCTACAAGAAATAAATGCTATGAACTTGGTTCACGGTATTTATTTAACAATTATAAGGTGGAAAGAACAGTGACTTATTTACATGCCAATGACAAATAACAGCTTGTTTGTGAGCACGGATACAGTAAATGACTTTGGTCAGCGTTTTCCACGCTCTGGGCTCATGGTAGAAAGCCCTGGAACATTTAGTGATAGAGCAAAGCAAGGCACAAAACAAAGAGCGAGAAATAATAGCAGAAACTCCTGACGTTGCTTCACTGGCTTCGACTCTGTAGCCCAACATTGATTTACACCACAAAGCTTCTCTATGAAAATACTGATGGTCATGTTATCTATTACTACTTCTTCTATATTTGAAACAAATTATACACAGGTAAAATTGGGACTTTCTGTCCTAGGGCAGGAGAATTGTTGTCAAGCAAAGTTATTACACTTAAATTTTTCATCATCCTGATCCCTGCGAAAATTCAGAACTGCTGTCGAGAAAAGCCGTCTCAGCCACTCAGCAGCTCAATGGAAGGATGAAAGATATTATTGATGCCTTCATTATGTTAGTGCCAGTGGTCCAGACCCTTCCAAGGAGTTTTGTGGTGGACTACTCAAAATGGCATACATGCACTCAAGTGGGCTGCCCTAAACTGAGCCCGCTTAGCTCCCAATGCTTCATCCCTTTGCATCTCTGCAACACTTTCTGCGTCTGCCTTTTTTTGTTCTCATTGAACAAAATTGTACTCTCCTACCACCAAAATCACTGTGAGAGTTTTACCCAAGTTTACATAAACAGATTCTGGCAGAACCAAGCCCATATGGTAAAGTCTCCTTTAACACCTTGATATCGTCGCTTTTCTTAGGACTTCTTTTTTTGCTTATTGAATAGACTGGGATTCCCAGGAAATCAGAGCGCCATTTCCCAAGGCTGTTGCTTGCCCTCAAGCAGGCCATTAAAGACACCCTCCCTGACCTTTCCCACTCATCATTAATGAGAAATATGTGAGGTTGAAAAGGGAAGGGAGCACGACAGCTCCGTGCAGCCTAGCACGCGTCTGGAGGAGCCTGAGACTGGGTCGCAAAACAAAGAGCAGCCCAGTCCTCTCTGCCTGCCCCGACCCCCAGCCGACTGCCCCTGGGGGACAGAAGGAACCCAGAGCAAAAGATGGGAGTGGAGTGGTGGTGGGGAAGATACGTGATTAATTGTTAATTTCCAGCTTGTCTGAATGCTCTCCTAAACTTTGAACACAGGGGTTGCTTCTGGCAAAAATGCCCCCCCAAAAGGCAAAAGAGTGAAGATAACAGAAGGATAGCTGAAAGCATTTTTTATCTAAGGGCTGTGACATTCATGCAGGATCCACTGGATTTGTGGGATAACATAGGTATGCTGCGAAGTGTGTGTGTCAGCTGTATGGCTTTCATCAGCCAATTACTTGATCTTCTGGGGCCACCATGTTCCCATTAATCTACAGGAGTATCGGTTTCCTGCCCTGGTGAATATTTTTCTATCTCCATCATTTGAAAGCTCAGAGTGTTTTTCTGAAAAAAGAAAACTAAAATTCCCTTTTTTTCTCAGTAGTACTTTGAGATGTGACAGTCCTTTCAGATCCAAGAGTTAGCTTAGAAGTGGGACCTCTTTTGCCTCTGATACTGCAACTTATCCTACTCCTCCTAAGCACAGCTATGTAATGAATTCATAGTCAGGCCCACGCCATTGCTCTCTTTGATACTATCTTGCTCCAAGATAAATGATATTTCACAGTCGTTCAGGCTTGGCAAGCCAATGCCGCATGCTGCAGCTGTTGTTCCCAACAGGAAGGGAGAGTTTAGGCTGTACTTGAAGGAAAATAAATAAATAAGTCAAAGGAAAAAGTCTCTCTTCAGGAAGTTATGCGTGACAACAATAGAGCATCAGACTAGAAATCCCTAACTTTGCTGGATTTTCATGACAAAATATAATGCAAAATCTGTAATCTCAGCCTGTAAACATTGTGGTAAATTTGAAAGAGGCTGAGTGGAAAACTCTCAGTAGTATCCTTCATTGTCCACCCTGTGCAGCCTCCCAGCCTCAGAAAGGTGCTTGGATCCACAACCTGGACCTTTGAGGAGAGCATGTAGCAGCAGCTGAAGTGGGTCTTGCCTGGTTGTGAGTTCAAGATGAACCTCATGCTCACACATGTACTGATGGCCACATTGCTATGACCCAGTAGTGTGTCTCACCAGGCCATGTGTCGTGGTCATCTGGCCAGCTGGCACGAGAAACGGTGTTGGCTTTCTCCTTTCCTCTGCTGGCTAGACACTTCAGGCTGTCTTTAACATGCCAGGCTGGTAAGCTATGTGTGGTTGGGATGGATCCAGAACTTTGAAGACTTTCTGCAGGTGAAGGAGAGATATAGCTATGGTGCAGCAGAAGCTAGGCTAAATCCTGAAGGAGGGATACTTCATATGAGAGATGCTTCAGGAAAGCGTTTGGCTCTGGACACCCATGAAATACCATTTTCTACTGATTATCTTTCTCTCCATTTCTGGAATGAAAAATAGTCTATTTATTTGTTACCTTGTGCAGTAGGGTTCCCCCCCCCCCCCCGATTTGCAGGGTTTTTTTTTCTTCTCTGTTCCCCTG